AAGCTTCCAAGCATTGCGTTGTCACCAAATACGTTAGTGCTACAAAATATCATTAAGTCAGCTGAGCTCACCCTTCCAGCTGTTACAATAAATGGGCAAAATAAAGGAAAACCAAAACCCCAAGCGGTTTTAACAACGTGATGATTGATGATTGAGTTCTATTTCTCTTTCCTCCTCCCCTGTATTTGGCTGCAAACGACTTACACCACCTCCCCAGCGTTTTTGGCCCTTGAGAAGGAGTGTGCCCTTGCCAATGTAGAGAAATCGAGCTAGGCTTTCAGGCTTGGAATCCGCTATGTACTCAACTCCCAAGCCTTTTGAGCTTCAGCCATAATTAGTTGTAATGTGTTTATGGGGCCAAGAGAATTTAAAACATGCAAGACATGAGTCAGGACAGGATGATATCAAAATCCTTATTTATTCTGGGTTTTAGTCTAATCTCATTGGGTTCCACACGCATCATTGTTTTTCTTGAATATTAGCAAGGTAGGGAAAGATGGGAAATCCCTGCAGGATTTAGACATTCAGGCCCGTACCCAACCAATCCTTGTGGAAAGGTTTATGTTTCTTAAACTCATATCCTAGACAATGGGCTCAGCCCTGGAAGGTCATGTTTTGTTTTCCTTTCATTTGGCTAATAACCCAGTAAATATTTGCTCTCATGACCAAAAATCATCCTGAAATATATGCAAGCATATTGAATGTCAAAAAAAAACATGGGCATATGTTGAAAAGTCATGGAAGAGGAAGAAAGAACGACATTGCAAAGCTGCCTTCACTCTCTGCAGCCACTGAGCAGTTCTAAAGGAACTGCTAATATAGTGATGCAAAATCTGTGCAAGGACCCCTTGTAAAGTCTTTCCATTTCCATGGCCCATGCATTCGATGAACACTATTTGCTAAAGACAAAGCCTGGACTGGCTTCAGAGAGCAGCCAAGTAGGCAACAAATTCCACAGCATTCCTTGAAAACCTTTAAGAAAGTACACTTCCCCTCAGAGAGATCCCAACCTACGCCCATCTCTAGCCCCACTCCTCAGACCTACCATCTTCTATCCTACTACTGTCCATTCATTCATAAATGGACACTTGTGTTACTCCCGTCTTTTGGCTATTGTGAATAACGCTGCCATGAACATGGTGTACAAATAGGAGTTGTTAGTATTATCTTCATCTTGTAAAGGAGGACATGGACACAGAGAAGGAAGTCACTGTTAAAAGTCACACAACTGGTGGTAGTGGAACCAGGATTTGAACCCAGAGCGGTGGACCCCAAATCCCATACCAAGTACATTTGTGCCTTGATCCATTTATTAAAAGCAAGCAGAGTAAGAGGGTCAAGAACTATCATATATATGTTAAATTTCTTTCTTCCTAGCCCATCAATGCCCAAAAAGTACTTACAACTTACTAAAATAGTTAAATAGATAACACGTAACATTGAAAACCATTGCAAAAAGAATGAGCCAGAAGCAAGTAATAGGAGAATGTTGGGGGAAGGATATAAGAAGCCCTGGCTGCTTAGCTTAATGGAAGTGGTGGCAGGTCTTTCTGGAACATCAATTTTTCTCCAATATTTGGGGAAAGATACTAGTTTATTTCATTGGTAATGTAAAGTCATGCTTTTATATTAGAAGAGATACTGACATGACTTAAAAAAGAAGTTTACATAAATTTTCATATTTTGTAATTTTGTTTTGTTTTGTTTTTGGAGACAAGGTCTTGCTCTGTTGCCCAGGCTGGAGAGCAGTGGCATGATTATGTCTCATTGCAGCCTCCAACTCCTGGACTCGAGTGATCCTCCCACCTCAGCCTCCTGAGTAGCTGGGACTGCAGTGACACACCACCACCCACCACTCCTGCCTAATTTTTTGTAATTTTTGGAGAGATGGGGTTTCACCATGTTGCCCAGGCTGGTTTCAAACTCCTGGGCTCAAGTTATCCTCCCACCTCTGCCTCCCAAAGTGTTGGGAGTACAGGCGTGAGCCACCAGGCCTGGAGAGTACATTTTTATTTTGCAAATTTTATCATAAAAATTTTCAACTATAAGCAAAAGTATAGAAATTTTAATATAGCGAGTCCCCGTATTGCCTCTCCAAACTTAACAATTAGTGAGATTTTTGTATTATTCATTCCTATTTCTCTTTCTGCCTTCCTTCTCCCTTTCTTCTTTTCTTTTTAATTGGTGAAGTCATTTAAAATAAATTCCAAACTTCATGTCATTTCACACCTGTGTACTTAGCATATGTGTCTTTTAAAAAAAGACAGATATTTTGTTACATAACTAACATGCCATTACCACATTTTAAAAATTAAAAACTAATTTCTTGGTGAAATATTACACTCCTTCCATATTCAGACTTCGCTGAGTGTATCCGTTTGTCTATTGCCATTTGGCCTGTGTGAATCAGGATCTCAACGAGAGTCATATATTTTGTGGCTGATAGCCTCTTAAGACTCTTTTAATCCACAGCTGGTTCCACCCTGTTTTTGTGTCACTGGTTTTTGAAAGGTCAACCAGGTCAGTTGTCCCATAGAAGTCTCTCTCCCTGGGTGCTTCTGTTCTCTTCTTCTCGATGTCATTTAACTGATATTTCTGTCTCTGTATTTTCTGTAAATTGAAAGTTAGTGCTAAAGAATCCATTGGATTCTTCCAATTCAACTCTAAATCTTCTGTGTTTTGCTTTTTCTACAAGAATATTTCTTTTTTTTTTTTTTCTTTTTTTTTGAGATGGAATTGTGCTTGTCACCCAGGCTGGAGTGCAGTGTTGCAATCTCAGCTCACTGCAACCTCCGCCTCCCTGGTTCAAGCGATTCTCCTGCCTCAGCCTCCTGAGTAGCTGGGATTACAAGCGTGCACTACCATGTCCAGCTAATTTTTATATTTTTTGAAAAGACAGGGTTTCACAACGTTAGCCAGGCTAGTCTCGAACTCCCGACCTCAGGTGACTCGCCCACCTTGGCCTCCCAAAGTGCTATAATAATATTTCATAAGTGAAACTGGGCACTCCTTATTACATCCTATCAAAAGACCCCTACTGTCAGGCTGTCCCTCTCTTAGTAAGGTTCAGATGGCGACAGCCACTTTTTCCAATATGAAAATCGCTACCAAACTTGCATTTATTGGTTTCCTCGTTGATCATTTGTGCCCCCCCGAAGCAGGTACTTCATGATAGTTCCAAAACAGTGACTTTCGAATTATGCAGTAGCTCTGCATAACAAACTATCCCGAAACTTGACGGCCTCAAACAACTATTTGTGCACAATTCCATAGGTCACAGTGTGGGTAGAGCTTTGCTGAGCAGTTTTTTCTGATACAGCCATGTGGCATTAGCTGGATTCCTTCATTCTACTGCATTCAGCTGGTGCCTGGGCTGGCAAGTCCAACAAGGTCTTGCTCATGGGCCTGGCTCCTCAGTGGTCATCCTCTCTTTCCAAATGGTTAGCTTGGGCTTCCTTATAGCGTGATGGTCTCCGGGTTGCTCTTGTGACTGGCTTTGAAGAGGGTGTTCTAGTGACAAAGGCAGAAGCTATGGATCTCTTAAGGCCCAGCCTTGAGAGCTACAGAGCGTCCCATCCATCTCATTCAACTGGCCAGAACAAGTCATGGGACCATTGTAGATCAAAAGGATTTGAAATAGACTCTACCTCTTGCTGGGGAGGTCACAAGGTCACAGTGCAAAAGAGGATGGGAAGTACCATTGTGGTCATCTTTGGGAGCACATTCACAATTATGTGGGGGCACATGAGGTGGTGACAGTCTAATCCCTCCACCATGAAGTTCCCATCACACTTCCATCTCACTGTGTCCTCCACTTGTGTGCTTTGCAAAGTCAGATCATCCATTACAGGTAGTAAAGGGTGACCTTCTAATTGGGTTTATTTTTCCACCTTTTTTTGTAAGTAATTTTCTTTCATTAACTAGGGCTATCACATTAGTCCTCGCAAGGCACATTAAATGGTTTGTTCCTTTCCTTCCATTGCCAACGTTCAAAGGATTTGAAGTCCTAATTACCTGCAATGGTCACCAGTGAATTATTTTTTGTTTAGCGTGTGCACTTTGTTTTGTTTTCTGGTTGTTTCTAAACTCCCCCATCAGTAGCATGGAGAGTTCATGTTTTTACACATTTAGTGTATTTTGGTAATTAAGCATCATTTTTTGATGCTCAACTTGCTCTGTCTTTGGCCAGTGGTCCCCTTGCATATTGTCTAGTGTGTTATTTTGACATATGCCCACTAGTCCTCGATAGCTTCCGTTTGTTTCTGACACACCAAAATGTCCCACTTCATTTACATATTTTCTGTCCCAGAACTGATTTCTTCCATTGGGAAATAGTATCTACAGATCACCCTTTAGGCACTAGGAGTAGTTAGTGCTGCAATGTTGCCTTTGCTTTCAGGTTGGGCCACTTAAAAAAAAAAAAATTAAATCATGAGTTAATCCTGACAGTTTCAATTACATTGCAGGAATTTTTCTTCTCCCTTTGGCTTTACACTTGTACTTTTTTTTCTCTTGTGTTAAAAATATTGGCTTCAAATTATTCATTTGCTGTATCATACAAACTACATAGAATTATCACAAAGTATTATTACTAATGTTGCTACTAAAAGTAAGACTGCAGAATGGAGTTGAACACTGTGTGGCAGCATTATTTGTTCCTATACAATATTTCATCATGCATGCACAGGTTAAATAATGTCTTCTAAAGTCACTTGAAATCATTATTTTCTCTGTGTGATTATGTCACCAAATTGATGTAGAGTTGGCTCATTCATTTAAAATGTATGTTTTTTGAATCTACAAAACATTGACATGATTCAAAGGTGTCTCCTTTCCTTCTGTCCCCTGTGCCCTCTTTTTCAGATAATGATTTATATGTATTTTTTATTTATCTCTTCAGGGTTGCTTTTTGAAAATGCAAGCAAATCAGTAAATATATTTATATCGTCTCTCTTTCTTACACGAAAAGTTTGTGTTCTGCATTTCTCACTTTTTTTTTTTTTTGCATCGACTTTCTTTGTGTAGATGCTCTATTGTTTAGTCCCACAGTCCCCTATTAATGGAGACACCTGGGTTGATTCCAATCCTCTGCTAATACGAATATGCTGCAGTGAATAATTTTGTGCATATGCCTTAGAGTATTTTTGGCTGTGTGTCTACAGGATGGATTCCTAGAAGTGAGAGCTCTGTTTCAAAGGGTCAAATCCTATGTAAGTTTTCTGGATGTTGCCTATTTCCCTCCATAAGGGGTCATACCCTTTTACACCTTTCCTAGCAATATAGAATAGAGCCTGTTTCCTCACAGGCTCGTCCACAAATGATGCTGACAAACATGAGTTTTTGCCAATCTGGTGGCTAAGCATACTCTTAATTTGCATTTCTTTCGCTCTAGCATCTTTTCCTGTATTCAAGGGCCATTTCTTTTCTCCTGGCAACTGCCTGCTGATGTCCTTCACACATTTTTCCATCAGAGTCTTCATCTTTTTCTTCATAAATCTTAGGAGCTCTTTATGATGAATGGCATTAGCCTTTATCCTACAAGTCTGCCAAGGTTTGCCATTGGAATCTGTTTCTGGTGTTTTTCGCCCACACGGCTTTTGAGACAACACCTAACATCTTGAAGCAATTCCATGGTGACAAGGCCTCCCAAGCCAAGACTGCACACCAGGGTTCTGTGGAAACATCTGAGAAGTTGCTTCTCAGACTCAGTTAAGCTACTGAAATTTATAATCAGACTCAACTCTAAGCCTCCTGGATCCCACTTCACAAGTCAATCTGATCAGAAGTGTCTTACCACAAAGGGAAGCTGAGGCTTGTCCCTTTGCTTAGAAGCAATGGAAGTGTCAGGGAACCCTTAGAGAGGGCGGCGGCTTCAGAGACCTTCAGGAGGTGCCCTCATTCCTGCAGCTGCTCAGCTTAGATGGGACGTGTGGCTGTGGTTTTCGAGCACTGTCCATGCCTGAGTCTGGGGGGAGAATCGTGTCCTTCTGACACAATGCTCAACTGGAGTGCATTTTATTTACGCTATGAGGGCTCAGAAAAGTGGTTCGTGGGAACATCACCATTTTATATGTCCAGGCATCTCATCAATTCAGTATGACACCTTCTCAGTGACTGACTCGCTCATGGGTCCCAGGACTAGAGAAAGCAGGGACCCATGACACGGGATAGAATACGGTGGTGGTTTTGTTACAGAGAAGAACAAGATGGTCTATTCATGTGACCTGATGCCCAACGAGGCTGAGAGGAGTATCGAGTCACTTCACTCTCAGGCAAGAGAAAGAAAAGTGAAGACAACATTGGATTGATGACGTCATGATCTTGTCTGTTCCCAATCCTACTCATGACCTAACAATTTAAAAGTAATAATGAAATAATGATACCCGAACGCATGATTTTACATCATGCTCCAGAATTTACAAAGCACTGTTGCATTTTATGCTCATAAGCACCATACCAGTGTGTGGTAGAGTGTGCTTGAAAGTCACAGAAAACCCAAGCTACGTGAGGTTAAGTTGCCAGGATCACACAGCTAAGAAAGGGGGAGCTTCAACTGGAATCCAAACCAAGGCTGGCTGTGGGCGTGTGCCGTGCCTGCAGTCACACAGGACCCTGTGCCCAGGAGGGCCCGTGCTTGGTTTAATGCTCTGCCGTTGCAGTCATGAGATTCACTTTGACCATGTTTGTACAGGCAGAACTGTTCATTTTGCACAGAGCTCCTCAAATTGTGTAGCCAGCCCTGCCCAGACTACATGTGATTTTTCTCCTAAGAATTAAAGTAGCAAATCTAAACTTTTTGAAATACAATTTATTGAATAGTCTTTGTTTCAAGTGGAATTGATACTTAGGTTTTGTGTAAAGACAGGGGCCATGTTATTGAAGACCTCACCACCCACCAGATGAAGCTCTGGGGGCTTCATGTGTTAGCCCCTAGCCTAGGGCCATAAGACCACTTCAGATAACACTTTTTGGTGCCTAAGACATATAGGAAATAGCTGCTTTATTATTCAAATCAGGCCAAATTCCCCTGCAAAACAAATAAATGGAGTAGAAGGATTTGTTTTAAAAAAGACAGAGAGAAGAGAAATGTTTATTTTACTGGAATTTTATTATACCAAATATTGTTCCAATATGTAGGCCATGATGTGGAGCTCTAAAACCTATTTCTTGTAAAGAAACATATAAGAAAGTCATGTTTGTGTTAGTAAGATTTAATCATCAATCCCCTAGTGAGCTGGGAGAATTCTTGCCACTTTGAAAGACACCTGCCTTAACCATAAGACCTATGGAAATCTCATTTGTAGTGTCATTCTGGGATCACAAAAGGCTTCCATTTAAAATGTGTCTTTAATTTTTCTACAGAAATGTATACCGATTGCTATCTAACATTTGGAAATTCATAGATTAATTAATTTAAAAGATGTTCAATGGAAGGAAAGAAGAGAAAATGAGCAGTGATAGCTAAAGATAAAGAAAGCCTGATCAATGTATATTTGCTTTTTCAAAAAGCATTTAATAGGAAACCTCTTACACTCTGGGCCCCTTACTGACCACTGCAGTTCCGGGAGAAATGATGGAAACACAAAACATTTTAGTAAATATAATTATAATGAGTTCCAATTACTTACAGAATATATATTTTTCTTTGCATCATGGGTCTTATGTGAAACTGTTGTATTAATTTTAAAAGAGAGAGAAATGCTTCCTAACACACATTAGTTGGAAGAGCATAATGACCAGTATAACCAGTTTCTTAAACAAGTCAATTAGAGGAGACGATCTTTCAGGTATCCGATCTGATTTATTATTCACTTGGGAATTAACAGAGAATGGCTCTTGATATAAATTCCTCTGTAGGTTTTATTATATTGGCATTTTGGTGGATAGATAATATATAGAACCCCTGGGCCTATCACTATCAAAGATGCTATTGATTGTATCAGCAGCATTATCCTGCGATTTTCCCTCATAACTATTTATGCAACTCTCTGTGATTTGTAATTCAGCAGTAATCATTTTCTGTGGCTGGTGCAATTTTCTTTCCATGGGGTACTTAGGCTATGTACTGAAACAAGGCTTGATTTTAAGCCCAAAGATTTGGGGTTTCGTTTTAGAATAATGGAGAGGAGATCAAAGAAGTTTTAGAATTAGAATTAATTGTTAAGGATGAGAAGCAAACATTAGTCCTTTATTTTATTAGTTCCATGGGTAGATCAGAGATAAGCAGTGGCAAAGTGGGAGAACACAGATAAAATCAGAGGTGATTTCATCAGGGTTGCAGGAGAGGAAATTAGCAGGAACCTGATGCTTGGACGAGGTTGAGTCTACTTTACCCTGCTGGCTCCTTTGGGGGCTGCTTCTGAGCACTTTGTGGGCTTGGAAAGGGAGTAGAATCTTTTTAAAGCCCTGTTTATCCCCTCAGGGAGAAAAAAAAAATCTCTGAGGGCCCTGGACTTGGGCTGAAACAGAGTTTCAAGAAGGTTTGAACCTTGCTCTGGGAACAGAGGCGCAAAGCAAGGTTGGGGAGGAAGGGCTAGCTTTTACTTGCTTAACTGAAGAGTGGCAACATGAAGGTGATGCACAAAACACACTTGTTTACTTTTCTCCATCCATAGTGGGGAAGAAACACACAGAAAAGAACGGTTGCAGCGCCCAGGTTGCAGGTGCATCAGAAATAGAGAAATGTATTCACACTCTGAAGCTGATGCCAAGGCCTTCTTAAGGAAACTCTAGGGGCTCAGAAAGGAGTACTTCGATTAGGTCTCCCTGACTCAGGATAACTAACATCAGAACGTTCACTCGTAATTTTGCTCAAACTTTGTCTCCAAGATCACACGTTCTCAGTCGCAGAACCATGAGTCATTATACTTCATCCAAAGATGACCTGCAATCCTGCCATGTTTTGCAGCTGCCACACCCACAGCAGTGCACCTGATTTTCTGTCGATTAAAATGGTCCAACAGTGGGCTCCCCTCCCCACTACCTCGGAAGAGCACCTATTTGTCCTTTGGAATCTACCTTGTCCAGCGCTTTTATATGCCTGGCCTTTGAATCGATCATCAACTCACTGTATCATGACTAAGGGAGAGGCTTTCTGGCAAAATCTTGTCAGCGATGTTGATTTCTCCTCCACGTTGCTGCTGAAACTGGGATGCAGTCTTCACATTGGCTTTCTTCTTCGGGAAATGCACAGGAGCCTCTTGCCTTGTAATACACAGTCTGTCTCATTCATAAAGTCTTGTCCTGGAAAATGCCTCATTCATCCCTGCGGAAGACCCGCCGTTGGGAGGGCAGGGGCGTTTGAAACCTTGGGAGACAGAAGACAATAGTGGAGTGCTTGGCAGCAGTGCCTGGGCTGCTTTAGCAACACGCACCCACGCCAGGGAGAGGATAAAACGCTGCAGTTGTTTACTTGCCTCTCTGGAGCAAAAGAGTCTCTTCGCCTACAATATAGATGCCAAATCCTCAGGTCCTGAGTGAGGAAATGATGAGCTTCGCCGGGGATTGGCATGAAGTCCTGTGCTCCAAGATAGCACGGCGTTTTGCTTGAAAGCATTCGTTGTTTAAAGAGAAAAATGAGAATTGTGGGATTTTTTTGTCAATCAAGAGTCAGCCAACTTCCTCTCCCACTGGCCGCTCACGCCGAATGCCCACCGTGCCCTGCGGTGCCCTGCCACGGAGACGGGCTGGTCTGCTCTCTGGCCACTAAAGGCATTTGCTTCGCTTTCAGAATCTGATCACAGGCAACTTAAATGTGCCAACGTTACCCATATTAGTAATTGCAAAATAATAAACATGGCAAATTTCATGTTAATAAGGCATCCAGTGTAACTCCTTTTACAGAAGGAGCTCTCTGGAATCCTAAGCCTAATAGATCTGTGTTTATTGCTCCACCAGCAGCATAATGTGACTGATTTACAAGAGTTTAACTCAAGTGTTAGTCTGACAGTGACGAAGAGCTCCTCACTGGTGCAGTCACTTACACGATCATATTAGTTGCCTCCTCTATTAAAGCAGTGTGGTCGATAATTGGAATGCTTTTATGTCTAGTGGTTCTGACAAGCCTCTTCTTCAGGTCACATATGGGCGGTCTAGCTCTCCGCTCAGCCCAACAGTGGCAAATAATTTAAACTGAGAAAGTATTGTTCTCCTCGTATTGTGGAGCAAGGGCAGTTCAAGGGAAGTGAGACTGCACTGGCTACCTGCTGGTGTGCAGTAAAATAAGGTGGACATGATACAAGGCTGGGAGTACAATTAAATCTATTTTGCACCAATGTGTTGCTGGACAGATGAGTTTCCACATGGCAGAGCTTTATGATCTTTAAGGTAGACTGAACTAATAGATTGGTGTGGAGCGCACTGAAGTTACCAAGGATGAGAAAGCAGGCAGTAGTACATTTGAACTACAGGTTTCTCATATGCTCCACGTCATGCTGAGTTTTTATAGCTCCTGGCTTTCAAAAAGCCTGTTTCAAAGAGGTTTGCGCTAGACTGGGCATGCAGTTTTGCTCTGCAGATATTGTCGCTACCGATTTAGTGGAATGCAATTAGGAAGCCTAAATTAAGTGGTAATGGAGAACCAGCTCTTGAAACTGGGGTTTCCACGGCAACCACTGCTTACAATACAGCCTTCAGTTAGTTTTCCCACTTTATCTGCAAAATGCACAATTGAGCTTTAAAACAGCTCGGCGCTGAAAAACGCACTGTAAACAACTGTTTGCAATGAGAGTTTTACACTGTCTTTAAATACAACAAACTATCACATAAAATTTACTTGCCCTCCCTAATAAAGCAAAATCTGGGTTGCCAATCGGTTAGCGATTTTAAAATTTATTATTCCTTTCCCCTGTTTGGATTTATTTTTAAGGGAAGGTGTCATGAGTCATTAGATCTCTTAACTTTGGTCATTCTTGCTGCATTTTCAGCTCCCCTGACAATCTGCCTATCCCACAGTCCCTTGCTAAAGTGTGTTTCATCTCAGCAAAGAATTGTTTCAAATAAACATACAATGTGCTCCTTTTCTAGGTTCTTTTCGTATTTTGGTAACATTTTACAGATTCTGCTTGTATTTTCCCTTTGTAACATGTCATAGATTTGCAAGACTTTCCTATTCTCTAATTTGTTATTTATCTTCTTTCCACCTTACTACTCTTTTAAAAGTCCATGTCTCATTTCTCTATACATTTGGCGATTAACCATCGAGGCTGTCTTTTGCCAGCCTAAGTAGCAAGAGGAGACAGTTAAAAGACAATATGAAAGCAGGTGTATTGCTAAACACACAGTTGTTTAAAACAGCTATGAAGAACTTGTACTTTTGTAAAACTCATTTTCTTTCGTGGTAGGAATTCATATTGTTTTATTGTAGAGTTGTCATTTTTGCTTAGGTGCATCAGAAATGCATACACTCAGGCACACGTATACAGCTACACTTACACATGCATTTTCTTAGTGGGGAAAAAATCAAATTGGGTTCTGTAAAGAGGAGAAGAGGATGGAATCAAATTTGGGGTCTCCTAGCTGTAATACTCTGCTTAATTGCCAGTCTTAACAGGATGAGCACTGGAACATGTCCGGACAGATCCAGGCAGCTGGTGAAAACTCATGAATTCTCCACAGCACAGAAGGTAATGTTTCCCAGCAGTTTGTGCTCTCTCAAGGTTGTCGTATTATACGTGTGTTCTTTTTCACTGCGAGAACATGCAGAGAGGGAGGGAGGCAGAGAGCATGTGTGTGTATGTGTGTGTGTGTGTGTCATTACGGTCCCTCCCATTTATGTGGCATTCGGTGAGAAAACTCGATTCTGGTGTCAGTGATCATGTCTGAGTCTCTGTCTGATAGGTTCTCTGTAGACGTGGAATATGTCAGGTGAGGCGTGCGCGCTTCACAGCAAGCATGTACCTTCAGCAGCGTGGCCTGGCTGTTTGAATTCTGATTTGTTTCAGAGTCGTTGGTTTTGGCCTAAAGCTGATTTAGGTGGTACCAAAGCTTTATGGGAAAACCCCGTTTTTCTTACTGCTCAGTGATGCTCTCGAGTGGTTCCTACAGTTTTCACATTTTGAGAATATAAATGTTGAAGAAAACCAAAGAGCCACGTTAAAAAAAAAAATTGGTTGCTGTTTTAATTTTTGGCTCATGGTATTTTCAAAAGTGTCTTTATTATATATCTTGACATTGTTTTAAACACCACCAATGCTTCATTGTAGATCTTTGTTATAAAAATATGTCTGTCATCTTAAAGCTTTAAGAATTTAATCTCGGAGAAGTTATATACATCTTTTTCTTTAGTAATTGATAAACTTGAGAGAGATTCTCCAATCCTATTTCAACTATTGATAAGGCACATTGCATATCTTTCCCGTGCCTTAAAATAAAATGTTAATTCAGTGAGTTCTAAATTTAAATCTTCTATGAGAAGAAACCTGGAGTAGTAATGTGCTCACAACTTTTGTAAGGCATCTTGTTTCAACATGGCTGGCGTTTTCTGCAAAATACACAAGGACACACAGAAATGGTCCTGGTCTGGCAACAACGTGCAGATTGATGTGTGTGCATTCAATTCCAGTTGACAAACCTTTGGGGCAAAGAGAAGGTTCTACTGTAGGGAAATGTCTTAGCGCATTCCAAAAGTGCATTTTTTGCAAGCTATATTTTTAGACTAAACATATGTTCAATGATTTGCCCTCTCCAGGGAGCAGGTTTGCATTCAGGCCACTGAAAGGATGGAGGCTGCATCACAGAGGAGGCCGTGGGAGGTCACAGGTACGGCCTCTCCTTCTGACTGTACAAAGAACTCCGCAAGCTGTGTGGTCAGAATGCCAGGGACAGCCAGGAGCTGCTGTCATTCGTTCCAGGTGGAGCTGACAGACTGTCTCTGAAGCGCCCACCTGCGCGTGCGCCCCCCTCTTCCCGGCACAGGCTAGAGATGCGCAGAATCCTAACCACGGCCACTGTTTCCTGCCTCAACGAGCCATGCCCTAAAAGAAACAAATGCATCGCCCCAGAATTCTTATAAAGTTACAATCATCTACTTAATTCTTTTAATTGCCTTTTCCTTCAACTTAAACTTTAATTTCAGGTATCTTCTGTACAACACAGAAGTCACGCACGTTCTGGATAGAATTAAAAGGAAATTAACTTGGGGTTTAGGGTGGACGTTTTTTGCCTTATTTTGCTTCTTAGTAACTGAAAGTGAAGTCTTAATAATCAGAATATTATTAATCCATCTCCATTTTTCTATTTTAAAGGCACAACATAGATTTTGGTTCCAGTTGGTATTACTTTAATGAGAGTAATGAATATTCCATGTGAAGGCAGCGTGTATGAAAGTGTGCTGGGAAAGTTCTAGGGGTCTTTTGTGTTTTGTTTCAGTTTTGAAGATTAAATGCAAGTTTAATTCTTTAATGAATATATAAGTTTGTCGATGCCCTTTCTTGAGGAAGCTATGGTTAAATTATTGTGTCAAATCATTGTATTTCATTCTGTCTCCAGTGTGGGGGTAGCACAGAGGGGTGGCAGGTAGGGCTGGGGGTGAATATGTGTGCTTTTCTTAAGCGACACTAGTTTTGGAACATGTAAGGATTCCAAAGGTTAATGTGGATTAAAATGCTATCTGCCATGAACTTTAGAAATTCAAATAAATGTGGTTGGTAAAAGAAGATCTGTGTTTTGATTACACGGAAATGCTTTTGTAGGCCTTTTCTTTCAGGTGAAGTAAACATCTTAAAAATAAGCACAATAAATATGTTTCTAAGCACGGTGCATTGTAATTGTAATTAGCTCTTCCTCCTTTATGAGGTTGCATGCATCAGATTACGTCTAATTACTCCCAAGCAGTTTGCTGGTTTCCTAGTTTTGTGAAAAGTCTCACAATACATCTTTACAACCATAAAAACACTCATTTGCTTATACTGAGGCCTTTATGGGCAACTCGCTTTCTTTTTATTTGAGGGGAAAAATTAAAGGTGAGCATCATTAGGAATCTCTCTTTAAACCCAGCAATCTACGCACACTGCAAAGAATCAATGCCCAGTAGGCGAGCTGGAGTTCTACAATACATTCTTGCACTTACAGACTTTTCCTTGACCAGGTAGCTGGTAATGCCATAGAAATTGATTATTTGTGATATTCTTATCATTGTTTAAACATCTCATTGCTTTTCCTCCACAGATTAGGATTTAGCTTGCCGGATACAGGATGACTAATGAAGGAAGTCCCTTAATTAGACAGACGTGTCCCAGAGCGCAAGGTGGTGTTGATAGGAAATCTGACCTGAATTGTGTCAAATTCTATTTCAATAGAATTTAAGGTCTCATTTTAGTAGAAATGAACATGGAACTGAGTTTTCTCTGACTCAAACACTTCTTTTGATTCACTCTTTCAACCCTATAAAAAGTACTCAGGGTTTATAGCTTTACCTAGAACACGTAGACATTTTCAAATCCATTTTCCATAGATACATCTTAGCATTTTTATTTTGGTTAACATAATGGAGGCATGTGACTTCAAATTCTATGGATGATCTTAAATGCCTAATATACAGGTTAACACAAAACTAAATTAAAATAAAAAACAAAACTTTAGATACAAAGGAGTAATTATCCAGAAAAAAAAAAAAGTAATCTTAAAGCAATAATCTAATAGTAGCTGCAATTAACCTCATGCATGTTTTTATCTAATTTTATAGTTCTGGATATTACTTGGTCTCCTGATTGGAGATATATCAATTCATAACCAAATATTGTTTCATATCCTTTTATGCCTTTAGACAAGCCTTTTTGTTAGAGCAGCATATGCTTAAAAAACAAACAAACAAAAAGGCGCGGCAATATGCTAAATTGCTGTCCAGATAATAGTTACTTTGAGTTCACCTTATTAGAACACTCTGACAATTTTGGTTGAGCCAAACAAATTGTGGCTTCTGTCCTAATTGAAAATAGCTCTGTTGATCTCCCAACCTGAGCACACCCTGGGGGAGGACACTCAAGCCCTTGGTGAGCTCAAGTGAAAATGTTCTTCTCGCTGAAAACTACATGGACGGATCTTCAGGTAAGTTTTCCTAAAACATCCTGTCAGGGCAAAGCCAGTCTGGTCTTTGTGAAAATGCCAAGTCTGCAAGCGTCAATATGTTTCTCCTCATTGCACCGTTTCCTATGTAGTATACTGCTTTTTCAGAGCTCGGTTATTTCTGCAGCTCCAGTTCCTTTGCACACAGTCTGTCGGCACTTAATAAGTATTTTCTGCATTTAATTGAAAAAAACTAAATTAAAAGAGTTTCATAATAATCACATTGGCATATCTTACCATCTCATAAAATTATTTGCTAAAGTAACTGTCTTCTGCCCAATTATACTGTAAGCCCTTTGAGAGTAGGGATTCTGTCTTATTTATTTTTATATCACCAACATCTAACAGAGTACCTAACATAAAGGTGCTGAGTGAGACTGGGGAATGGATCCCTGAGCATGTGAAGAATGTGCTGGCCTGATAGCTAGTTCAGTCCCTACCTGAAGCAGAATGGGAACGTTTTCTTGAGGGTAGATGGTTGCATTAAGAATATAAAATTATGATATATTGAGAATGAATCATTTTCAGAGCCAAATACAATTTTTGGAGCCCATGGGATTGCACGTTATTTGTTAAAGATATGTTTAGGATCTGCAACCAAATAGGGTAAGTTCACACCTTCTCTCCAGCATATTCCAACTGGGTAAGCCCAGTTGGAATACAACTGGAGGAAGTTACCACCTTCTCCAATTGTCTGTTCTCTTCCATTAAGTGAAGAAGATAAAATCCTCCTCAGAGTTGAGAGTGAAGATTAAATAAGATTGAATATGGGCAACGCATAGATTATAAACACTATATACATGTTAGGTTTTCTCTTCTCTTCTGATTTTCAATGAACCGTAATCCCTGATTTTTATACTGAGAAATCGGGGACCCTGGACTTCATTAAAATGGTTTATTCTTATTTGTAACAAATGTTAAGTCTTTTATATTTTTCTATTATTTTGCTTAATTATTGCCTGGGCAGTCTTCCAGGATTATTTTTTTGTCTTATTTTCACACCCCTCATTTTCTATATGTTTATTTCCACAAGGGTAGACCCTGGATTTCAGCATCTGATAATGACCTATGTATCTGGGTAACTTTTATGACACAAAATGCAACATAAAGATTTGGTTTCATTCATCCCACATCTACACATCATTTGGGAGAAGGGAACTATGCATCATATCTTGTGAAATATGTTCTCTTCCAGAACTTTTTTTTTTTTTTTTTGAGACGGAGTCTCCCTGTGTTCCCCAGGCTACAGTGCAGTGACGCAATCTCAGCTTACTGCAACCTCCACCTCCCAGGTTCAAGCAATTCTCCTGCCTTAGCCTCCCAAGTAGCTGGGATTACAGGCAACCACCAAGCCCAGCTAATTTTTGTATTTTTAGTAGAGAGGGGGTTTTGCCATGTTGGCCAGGCTGGTCTAGAACTCCTGACCTCAAGCGATCTGCCCACCTAGGCCTCCCAAAGTGCTGGGATTACAAATATGAGCCACTGTACCCGGCACCCCCCCAGAATTTTTTGAGTCCCAATATCTGGGAAATTGCCTATAAAAAATAAGCTACTAAGTTGTTCTTTAGGTTTTCAGAAGTGTTTTAGGAGGGCAGGAATCTCTGTCTCCCAAGCATCTAGAACAGTGCCTGGCACACAGGAGGCACTCAATAGACACTTGTTGAATGACAGCTGAAGGAACATTAAAAAAAGAAAATCTAAGATATCTTTTCAAAATTCAAATAAAATTAAATGAACAAAAGCATATGTTACTTCCTTCCTTATGAAATGTATGTTTCAACATTTACACACTAGCCAAACTTAGACCCTATCATACCAAATTTCACAAAAAGTTAAAAGTAAGGGCCCAGTGTCAGTGCTTCTGAATATGTAAAAAGTCCTTATATAATCATAACCCTACACTGGAACAGAGCACCAAATTAATGGTGAGTACGATACATCAACTATTTATGTATGTATAATACATAAAATATGCTAAATACATAATTTATACATAATAAGTTTATACCTAATAAGAATAAACAAAATAATAGCGGTTATATGGGCTCTGTGCTTTACAAATGTTAGTTCATATCATCCTTGTTACAGCCCTGGTTTTACAGTCCCATTGCACCCGTGAGAAAACGACTGAAAGATTTAGTCATTTGTCCCAGGAAGAGGTGGGGCCAGAATTTGAAACCTGGCAGTAGACTCCACAGCTATGCAATACACAATAGAGTCTCACAGCCAAATGACAATGATAATAATAAAATAATATTTTTAAAACAAATGTGCTTATTTCTCTGTCTTCATTGTGAGAGACTATAGATGTGTCAACCCCACCATGGGTGCTGTGGCTTTATGAGCCCTGTCTTGCCACTAGAAGATGAGAACCCTCACTTGTCCATGTGCTTCATCTGCCTCTCTTGGAGCCGTCCAGCCCGACGCGTGGGTCACCTTGACTCTTCTGCCAACCTAAGACCCTCCTAGGTCCCTTTAAGCAATCTTCTGTTCTAAAACTGCCATCAACCACTGTCCCTTCCAAATACCTACCCCAAACACTTCCTCTGTTCTAATTTATCCCAATGTCCTCAGCTTCCAGTTGGAGGAACACTATTGTACTGTTTCTGCTGTGTCTCTAAAATAACCTATTATTGACAGCTGGATTTTTTTTTTTTTTCTATTGACTTGCTTAAACAATGTATTCACCTCTACTGGGGGAAAAGCTTTTAAAATTAATAAAATAATATGTGAGATTGTCTTGTTCACTAAAACCTTGTCCTGAAAACTGAAGTTATATTTCATGAGTTATCTAACCTGCATTGATGCATTGCAGGAAATGAAATGCCATCCCCATTTTCATAACTGTATGTGAAAGGAGACTCTGGATGATGCATCACGACGCTTATCCTCTGATTCCATTATCTGAAGGTGACAAAGCAGATGACCAAATACGCTCTTCAGTGCTGTGCATGATTTTTTTGTTCCTCTACTCACCCTTTTCTCTTAAGGAATTTCATTCTTTGTATAGTTAGTCCATATTCTTCCAATATAGAAACTGCTTTCTTCTGCCATGTGTGGTGGTTCACGCCTGTAATACCAGCACTTTGGGAGGCCAAGGTGGGTGAATCGCAAGGTCAGGAGTTCAAGACCAGCCTGACCAACATGGTGAAACCCCGTGTCTACTAAAAATACAAAAATTAGCCATGCGTGGTGGCAGGCTCCTGTAATCCCAGCTACTCAGGAAGCTGAGGCAGGATAATGGCTTGAACCCGGGAGGCAGAGGTTGCAGTGAACTGAGATCGTGCCACTGTACTCCAGCCACAGAGCGAGACTCCGTGTCAAAAAAAAAAAAAAAGAAAAGAAATTGCTTTCTTCACATTTAAATCATGCCTAAAAACATTCAGCTTGCATCTTATACTTTTTTGGAAGTTTTAAAATTTTTTAATTTTAATTTTGTGGGGACATAGTAGATGTGTATATTTATGGGGTACATTAGATGTTTTGATACAGGCATGCAAGGAATAATAACCACATTATGGAAAGTGGGGTATCCATCCCCCCAAGCATTTATCTTTTGGTTTACAAACAATCTAGTTATACTCTTCTAGTTATTTTAAAATGTACAATGAAATTATTATTGACACACTACTGTGCCGTCCAATACTAGGCCCTATTCATTCTTTCTGTTTTGTTTTTTTTTTTGTACCCATTTA